CATAAAGGCCCAAGTATAGAGCTCACCGACAAATGCCTGATGACAAGTGGCTACGGTGCTCAAACTCACCCATGTATCCAAGACCATGCCCCAACTCAGTTATTTCGGGACTCAACTGAAAGCTCTAGCAAATCATTCCCTTTCATTAACATTCATTATCTTCGCAACTTTCATTCACTTACAGAGACTTACAGATTACAAAAGGTTTTTTTTCCGCAAATACTTAGAATTTGTAGCACAGCCCCATCTACTCCGCTATCAACAAGTACGACGACCGACCAAAGCTCCCGTCGCAGTACTACGATGGAATGCAAGGCTCCTACTCCAGCAATAAGCCTCAACGTAAGATTTATGATTCTGGCTCGCTGATTCCCATACTGATCTTCGTTTTTAGGATGTGAAGACAAAATCACGGTTTGTTGGTGGACGGCGGACCGATGTCGTGCACCGGCGATCTATGCAATGATGACGTCGTTATGTGCAAAGACGTGCGGATTCTGCTGACCTCGTCGTTGCTGACGATCGCCCAGTCCATGTCAAAGTGACCATCTTTTATTGCATCACTCTAATTGCCCTCCCTACGATGAACTCACAACACCTCTTTCTCTGTATATACTGTGCCTTTCAACCAATTTCTCGTCTTTCTTCTTTCGCGTTGATTGTCTTTTTACGGGTTACCAAAGTTTTTTTTTGGAATTTTTTAGTAGAGTAAAACTCAAAATCGCTAGTGAAGATAAATTGATTTGAAATGTCTGAGTTCACAAAAAAAGAAGCACCAATCTCACTTCAAGTTAAGCTCTTCTACGATAAGATGGTAACTGATAACGATATAGGGAAGAGCATTAAAAAGTTATGAAAGGGATGAATCTGGAATGGCTGATGATTACTTCAGTAGTAGAGTGATCAGCTGCATAGTTCTATGGAAGCCTACAAACTGCTATTTCAGAAAACCGGATGGGAGACACAGAATCTAGTAATGCATCAGTACAGAAATGTTTTCGGGCATTTATCCCGCGTGCGCTCTGCTGCAAATGGGAACTTTCATCCCAAGTAGTAATATTATCTTACCGGTCAAACAACTGCTGCAGTGCTAACAATCCTTTCCGAGAG